TGATCAGGGTGCCAGCGCACAGGCCCCTGGCCGGAGCCGTGGCCCACCCCCAGCCCCTCGCCGCCGGCTTGCCCACTGTGCCCGCCGTGCCTGCCGTGCCAGGCGTCAACAACCTCACCGGCCTCACCTTTCCCTGGATGGAGAGCAACCGCAGATACACAAAGGACAGGTTCACAGGTGAGTCCGGCCCACGCGCGCCAGCCTGGCCGCGGCTCGGGCTCTGTGCTCCCCTTCCCGCCGCCGGTGGCCACGAAGGCCCTCCGAGCGCAGGGTCGCTGGCTGCTCCCGGTGTCTTTCCCAAGTTGGGCGCCCACCCCAGGATCGCCAGGCTCCCCGAGTTCTCGCAGCTTGGGCCCCTCGCCGCTCCTGCAGGACCCCTGCTCAGAGATGCGACCCACGGTCCCCTCGGGATCCCGGGCCAACTCGGACAGCAGGAAGAGGGCCATAGCTTCAGCTACACTTTCTGTCACTATTTGAGGCTCAGGGATCTCAGAGACAGAGGTGCGCTGTGAACAAAATGTTCCTTCTCTCCCGGCTGTCGTTTTCTGATGAGGTAGTGAGGCTCCGGATCAGACACAAGAGAGGAACCGGCTCTCTACCTCCTGTCCCTGCGCTCGTCCTCCGCGCTCTGGGCCCGGCGTGCTAGCCGACTCCTTCCCGGACTGTGGGCGCTGGGAGCCGGGCTGCCCGGGACAGGCGAACCTTATTTGCCTTCCGTCCCGGCTCGGCGTCTCGGCCCCGGGATCTTCGGGGTGAATAATGCACGGCTGCCCAGTGATCGACCGCGGCTGGAGGAGGCCTCTCGGGATGAGCGCGCCCTTGGCAGCCGCAGCCTCTTCTCTAGGCCTCTGCTCACAGCTTCCTGGAGCCCCTTCCGCGTAGGCGCATCCCTGCCTCTTCTCCAGGCCCCCATTGCCCTCTCCCCTCACCTCTCCCCGGATGTGAGGCCATGCTCTTCCCAGATCTTCCCGCCGCCCAGGTCCTCCAGCCCTGCTGGGAGGCTGCTAGGAATTATGCGGGATTCACCAGCTGGGCCTCGAAGGAGAGGGGTAGCAGGAGGCACAGGCTGCTGCTAGGCTCCCGGAGCGGAGTGCCAGGGCCCAACTGTGAAAGGTGTGTGTGTGTTTACACATCCCGTGCAGCTGTGGAGGGAGAGGAAGCCTATAGCTAGTCTCAGCTAGATGGCCCTCAGGAACTCCAGGACCCTGCCTCTGTTCCAGGCCGAGAAAGCAGGCTGTTCCCCAGGCTCTGCCCACGTTCTGGTGCTAAAGAGTGTGTTGTGGGGGGGGTAGGTTGGCACAGACCAGCGACTTTGGTTATGGGTCTATGGCCCTAACTCAGGGGGCCCCAGTGCCCTAAACTCAGTGTCCTCAGGCCTAAGGAGGTGGGGCCTGGTGCCCTACCCAGGCCAGCCAGTCTTGAAAGAGTCTGCCTGAACCCCAGACTGGACTCCACTGTCCTGTGTGTGTGTGTGTGTGTGTGTGTGTGTGAGCACACACCTTTAAGGGACTCTGCACAGGGCTGCTCTGGGGAGCTGCCGCCTGCCCTGGGGTTCCTGCCTGAGTGGGGTTCTGAGGGAGGGTACAGCTGTGGCCTTGTATTGCCCTGTGTGCCTGTGCCCGGCTCATCTACGTGTGCGTGCCCGCCAGTGGGGTGTGCACCTTGTAGGCCTGTGCCTGTCCTATATTGTGGGGCCATGTGGGGCTCTGGCTGAGGCGCAGGTCTGGACCTAGAATGAGAAGCCTTGATCACCCTTTGCCTTTTACAGAGCACCAAGGAGGTGAGGGGGAGCAGGTCGGAGGCTGCTGTTCCTAGTTTAGGGAGCCCCAGGCCCGTGAGGGGGGGTGAAAGTGGGCGCAGTGGAAGCTTCGGCCTGGAGGAGGCCCTTTCCTGCCTCGCGCTCAGGGTTCAGGGCTGCCGGGAGGAGCAAGGCCTTGCTTAGGGGTCCAGCCAGTGCGCTGCCGGCTCGCGGGGTGTCGGGCTTGGGATGCCTCCTGACGCTCTGCCGCTTGCCTCTGCCGTCTGTCTGTCTCCCGCTCCAGTGGCCCTCTCACCCTTCACTGTAACACGCCGTATAGGTCACCCCTACCAGAACCGGACACCCCCCAAGAAGAAGAAGCCACGCACCTCCTTTACGCGCCTGCAGATCTGCGAGCTGGAGAAGCGCTTCCACCGCCAGAAGTACTTGGCCTCGGCGGAGCGCGCAGCCCTGGCCAAGGCGCTCAAAATGACCGATGCGCAGGTCAAAACCTGGTTCCAGAACCGGCGGACGAAGTGGAGGTGAGCGCGGGCCGCTGCTCGGCCTCTTTCGGAGTGCGGAGCGCGCGCCCCTCCCCGCGCTGCTTTCTGAGCGGTCTGGAGGAGAGGGCTCCGGCAAAGCTCTTGGGGAGCTGGAAGCAGTCGTGGCTGGGTGGGGCTGGAGAACCCTGTGTCACCGGAGGTTTCGGGGCTCGCGGAACCACGCACTACCTGTGTAGATGCGTCTGGTCTCCTCCGCCACTGGGGCACACAGAGGTGTGGAGCTCCGGGATCCCGGCTTCCAGGCTCACTGACTGCTTGGGGATTTTTGATTGCTCAAACCTGCATTTACGGGAGACCCTCCTCTGTCTCGGAGGTCTGGGGGCAGAATGGCCTGTGCCTTGAGCTCCAGCCACCCGCAGCGCGCTGGGCCCCAGACCCGGCCCTTCGGCCGCTCCTCCCCCGGCGCCCGGCCTCTGCGCGCCGTCCCCGCCGTCGGCGAGGGGAAAATCAATCCGCGCCGGCTGTGGCGGGGTTTCACGGGTCCCACTGAAAGGGGGATCAATTAGGAGCAGATGGGTGTGTGTGTGTGTGAGAGAGAGAGAGAGCGCGAGAGGGAGAGAGATTTTCCCTTCTGCCGTCAGAGCTACACTTACTACACGCTCATTTTTGTCTTTTCACATGCATGTACCTATCTCTGGGTTTCGCTTTCGGCTCTCCCCTGCCCTCGCGCACTCCTAGGCAACCCGCTCTGTGCACCCCGAGCGCCTGTCCAGAGGCACCCCTGCACCTCGCGCACCGGTGTGCTCCCTCGGAGCCGCACACGGCACACACGCCGCGGGGAGAGAGGGAGAGGGAGTCAGGCGAAGTCTGCGGCGCCGGCCGGGTGGGCCTGGGGCGGGAGGAAGGAATCGGGGTTTCCGCTTTTTCTGAATGGAGGCGAGGAATCTGCCTGGGATTCCGCCTTCGGGGCCACAAAGGAAGCCGCGGCCCTGCGAGCCTACCGCCCCTCACCAACATTCCTGCTGCCGGGAAAGGGGCGGGGAACGGGCTCCAGCCCTTGGGAAGCCGGTAAAGGGAGAGTGGGCAAGGCGGCCGGGCGGGAGGGGTCGCTGGTATTTTCCAGGTTTACTATGGGGTGCGGCCAGCGGGGAGGAAGCCAAAGCCCCCTCTTCCCCCCTCCCGGGTGCACAGAAAGGCAGCGGCGGGCAAAGAGAAATCGAAACACAAAGGGTAGAGACAAAGGTATATCCCCCTTTCCTGCAAAATAGGAGACAGGCAGACCGAAGAAATCTTGTGTGTAGTAAAGGAAAGCTTCTGGTGATTAAAACCGACAGTTTCGTTTCAAACAAATTCTCCTAATTTGGAGAGAACGAAGGGGCAGCGATCAGAGAAAACTAGAGACAGACAGGAGCTCAATGGGAGAGAAACGTTCGGGCGGTCTGAAATGCAGGGAAGGAGGAAAGATGAGAGGGGGACGGATACCCGGGCTAAAGGCCCAGCCGCGCGGGAGGAGACGCGCGAACGCTTCGCAAAGCGGCTTCATCGATCCGCTACAAATTGCTTCTGGAGGCCCCCGGGACTCCCATTAGGTCTGTCCACCTTAGAGACGACGTTTGAGCTCAGTTGACAGGGTGGAGGGAAGGCATTAAATGGAATAATTGAGTCGTCGCTAGCCTAGCCAGGACGGCCTCCTCCTCCTTGGAGGAAGCTGGTCGGTGGTGGGAGCCCCAGCAGGGCACGGGCTGGGACAGGAGGTCCGAGGCCCGGGAGAGAGCCAGAGGAAAGGGGTCAGGCCTAGCTGCTGGCCGTGGCCTCTGTGCCCTGTTCTTGGGGGAAAGGGCCCTGGGCGCGAGGGGCTGGAGAGGGGACCGGCCACCCGAGGCCAGCTGCCCCCGCGGTTGTGGGCAGGGAGGCCGGCAGTTTGAGCCTATGGGGCTTTCCTACTGCTGCATACCTCGGGAATACCTCAGCTGTGTCCACTCTGGGCGTCTCCAGGCTCACTCACAGTCAGGACCCTCACGAGGAGGGACTGAGTTAAAGGGACCCGAGCTGGTGTTGGGGGCGGCAGAACAGGAGCAGTCCTGCAGAGCTTCCCCAGCCTGTGGAGCCGCAGGACTCCGCCAGTAACAGCTTGTTCCCGGTGCAGGCGACAGACCGCGGAGGAGCGCGAGGCCGAGAGGCAGCAGGCAAACCGCATTCTCCTGCAGCTGCAGCAGGAGGCCTTCCAGAAGAGCCTGGCGCAGCCCCTGCCGGCCGACCCCCTGTGCGTGCACAACTCTTCCCTGTTCGCCCTGCAGAACCTGCAGCCCTGGTCTGACGACTCCACGAAGATCACCAGTGTCACGTCGGTGGCATCAGCCTGCGAGTGACCCTGCCCGCTCCACCCTAGGGGACCCCAGGCCAAGGAGAGCCCCTAGGCTCGGGGACAAGACTCTCCCCACCCCTGTCCTCTGAGCAGGGGGGAACTGAAGCCCTTGTGCTGGCCCCCACACTCCTGCCACTGCCTGCCACAGCCACCACGACCTGTCTTCAGTAGAGGTGAAGAGAACAGCCCCGGGGACAAGGACGCGGGACTTCTGCCCGGGAGCCTGCACATCCCATGCCTGCTGGAAGTGTCCAGAGCCTCTCAGTTCTCCTCTGTTTCCGTTTATTCTGATTCTCACAAGGGACAAAGAGGTCAGGAAGTAGTGGCAGCAGGGTTTCTGGGACTCCCCCAGGCTGCTCTCCGAACTTGCTCTGAGAAGCCCCTCTGTGTCCCACTCAGCACCTATACCAGAGGCCCACGCAAAGGCGGTGTCACTGTCCCCCCTGGCGTCACCCCAGAGCCACGAAGGATGACGTGGCAGAGTGTCCTGGTCATGGCTTACATACTGCTGACCCTCACAACTGGGCACAGGCTGAGGGTGACCCACACTCATTCTGGGCAGCATGGTCCCCTCCAGTGCAAGGCCACGCCACACTGTGACACACCGCCTGAGACACCACAGCCTCACCTGGCTGGCCCCCAGGGCCCCACCACACATCCCCGCTGAACCCAGGTATGACAGACAGGTTGTCACCCAAACTCAGCACATTCTCCAGATCCTGTTTGTAAGGGGGGGTTAAATTATGCACTTATAAGGTGTTTTCTGTGTACCATTTTATAAAGTGCTTGTGTAATTTATGTGGAAAAAAAATAAAACCCTCGGGATCCGGAGTCAGGGCTGCCTGCTCCTTGCTGAGCCAAACATCTTAAGCTGTTTTTTTTTTGTTTTTGTTTTTTTTTTGGTTTTTCTCCGGTACTGGGAACCAAACTCACGACCTTGCGCTTGCCAGGCAGGCGCTTTTTGCCGCTGAGCTAAATCCCCAGCCCCTGAGCCAAACATCTTGCAGCTACTTGGATGGTGGAACTGGGGCTTCAGGGGCCGTGCGGGGACCTCAGCCTGAGAGATGTGGGTGAGCAGCGCTCTTGGGCTCTGCAGAGGGGCAGGCTGCCCTAGAATTGCTAGTGTTTGTGAGTTGTGTGTGTGTGTGGTGTGTTTGTAGTAATGTGGGCAATCAGGATGTTCCTGATAGTGAATGTATGTGATCTTGTGATCGTGTTTAAGTGTGCAATTGGGTTTGTAATTCTTGCATGTAAACACTTGTTTCTGTTTAAAATGAAAATCGAAACTATCACTGTACGCATGGCTCACAGCGGTGTGTGTGTAACCATGTGCCCATATGACTGTCTTTCGGTCACCCATTTTTCTGAGTGTGTGTGAATTTGTGAGAGCATACATTAGTTTCTCTGTGAATCTATTTTTGTTAAATATGTGAATGTTTATGGTTGTCATTAATTGTGAGTGTAGCTGTGTGTGAGATATAACCATGTGTGAGCCATGTGTTTTCATGTACCGCATGCACTTGTGTGTGACAGTACATGACTGGGGCCATGAAGGTAGTGAGGGCTATGATCACTGGGGAGATGGCCCCTGGGGGTGTGGGTGGTGGTAGGTGAATGTAACTGTTTGGTGAAGATATACAAGCATGGGAACCCGAGGTGAAAATGCAGGTACACTAGGAAGGAACCCGAATCTGCCAGGAGTTCTGGGGCTGTGTGCCCTTCCCAGCAGGCTGCAGGGACGGGGCCCCCCAAACCAGGAACCAGAGCCTGGATCCTCTCTGTGCTCTCAGTGGGACTTCCCAGCTCACAGCGGCGTTAGCCTGGCCAGTGAGGAATCTGAAGAAGTGAAGTCCCAAGGACCTCCAGGGAATCTCCAGACCATTCTGACTGCAGCCGCAGAACATACCCCATAACGTCTAGCTCCTGACCAGACCAACTGCAGACAAATGTTTCACTGCTTTTCTGGAAGAAGTGGGGTATTCGTGGATCTGGGGAACTTGCTAGCCAAGGAAGAGTCTAGAGCTGGGGGACAGGAACCTTTTCCTTTGGGATTGGACAGTGAGCAAACTTTGCAGCTAGGAGCTACAAGTTGGTGGGGAGCAGCGCATGTACAGGCCTGCAGAGCTGAGCGCTCTGTGACTGAGCAAAACCACCAGAGCCACTGTCCTAGTCCTGCCCTGGCAGCCACTGAAGCTCGCAATACAAGGGCAGCAAGAACAGCAGCCTCCCACCCAAGGAAGCCCAGGGGGAAATCCGGCTGTGTGGAACTTGGGTTCCCTCACCCATGGGCCTCCTGGATCTCAGCAAGAGGGTTCTAGGTCTAAAGGACTTGGGTGTCTTTCCTGCCCTCCTTCTCCAGGTGAGACATCAGGCAGCCTGTGTGTGAGCTGTAGGACAGGCTCTGGCGGCAGTGCCCCGTCTGCAGCGTCCGGCAGTGCCCCGTCAGCCTCCGGGGCTGAGAAAGATCTGGGAAGAACCTCTCACACCGTAGAATTATTCTGGCTGGGCAAGTCTGGCTGTCCTCACCAATCCTGACAGGACAAGGCCACCAAATCCGTGTTTTCCTTGCAGGACCTGGTTTGTCTCCTTCATTTGCATCTCGGAGGCTCAGGATCAGTGTCAGACTCCTGGAAGACAGAGTCTCCGGACTCCCCCGTTCCCATGAACCTGCTGTGTCTGGAGGACCTTGGACAGTTTGTGGTCACAGACTATCCAACCTAAGAGCTGGGGTAGAGGCAGGGAGTAGCTGATGACCCAACACGACCGCTCCAAACTGGCTCCAAAGCCCAGGCTCCTCACCCCATCTGCCCACTTCCAAAACAAAGCAAGCAGCCTTGGGCACCTCCCCCACTCCTCTACCAGCCTCAGAACCTTGTGACAGTTACCTCTTGGAGCACCTCAGCCCTGTGTTCCGTCCTCACACCCTGCCCAGCTGATCAGGACTCAAGCAGAAGCGGGCATTTGGCCTTAGAGCCACCACCGAGCTGCCCCAGGGGCCTGCCTGCTTTTGCGCTCGCTTGCCTGCCTGGTTGGCACGCTCTCCCGGGCCCTCTGACCCACCGGGGCCCTGGGCAAGGCCTCCCAGTGGAGCCAGACTCCTGGTGGTGTTGGAATCCGTGGCACTGAGGGCCCGGGCAGGACTCCTGGCTCTCCACTCAAAATTCGTTGGGACGGAATCTCAGCGAATCCTGCATGGGCCGAGGGGCCAAGCCGGAGCCCTGGAGAATACAACCTCAGATTCCGGCTAGGCCTACCCCCATCACAGGCCTGGGGGGCCTGTGATGCCCCCCAGGAGTTGGGGACAGCTGAGCAAAGGGGCAGGAGCCAGGGGGCCATGAAGGTCAGAGTCACGGCCAGCTGCTCCAAGAGGAGCGCTCCAAACTCCAGGCTTTCCACAGTGCCTCCGGAAGATCGCTCTCTGCGCAAAAATAGAAAAGGAACAGATCATCTGAAAAATTGTGCGCAAGGAGCCGGAGAGGAAGAGAAGAATTAACAAACCTGTCTGGGCAGAAAGTCCCGCTTCCTTCCTCAGGGGGAGGGCACCTTCGGTGCTGAGGGACTCCCCTGCCTGCCGGATTCCCCTGCCTGCTGGAGCCCTGAGCGAGGCAGAGCCCTGGCGCTAAGTGGATGGCGGTCGGGTAACTGCCGAGCAGGGTGGTGGATGGTACAGAGAATCTGGCTCAACCTGTTAACTATAACAGAGGTTTTGTGTCCCCAGATCTGCGCTGGGGGCACCGCATGAGAACTGACAGCCTGTGATGCCCCCCAGGAGGCAGCAGGCTGGGTTCCCCCGCCCAGGACCCAGACAGGTGCTCTGTTTGGAATGTAAGTGACCTGCAGGCTGGCGAAGTGGGCAGCAGGCTCATGAGACACCTCCACGGGAGCCTCGCTCTGGACAGCACAGAGGGAGCCCTGGGTTCCCTGCCCCAGCCGCGGCCTGTCCCTGCAGATCTGTCCCCCTGCCAGGTACCCATTCCACACAGTCCCTCAGTCCTGCTTCTCCCCAGGACTTCTCAGCCGCCCAGGGCCTTCCCGGGCCTCCCTGATCTACAAGCAGGCCTCGGCCCAAGCAACTCGCAGGAGCTGCTGCAGTTTTCCCAGGCCCGCTCAAAATGGCCCGTCCGGTGTGCCCTGGCCCCAGGTCAGTCCTGGCATGGTTGGTCAAGGCACTGCCCACCTGCACCTTCCCTGAATTTTTTTTCCTGGGGAGTAAAGACAGGAGCAGACAGAGGGAGGGCTGAAGCCAGGCCGGGTTTTCCGAGGAGCCCAGAGCAGGTTTGGGAAGGTGGTGGGGAGTGCAGGGATGGGTGTCGGGGTGTGCAGACAGGCACATCCGCGCACTCCCCACCTCCACTGCCTGCAGCCCCGCCACACGCATCCAGGCTGTGCACCGCCACACCGGGAGCTACAGGTGTGCGGTGCCAGGCGTGCACAACCTCCAGTGCTCGGCTGCCTGCCCCACGGGCCCCCCAGTCACTGCCCGCCAGCTCCTGGCTGGTTTCCCCGACCCTGCGCTTCGCCTCCCCTCGCCCCAGCCTTTGCGGAAGGTGGTCCAACTCCATTCCTGGGGGGCCCGGGCCGGCTTCAGCTTCCAGCCTGGCGGGGACCACAGGTGCCCGCGGCTGGGCTTGGGGGCTCCGCGGAGCACCCCGCAAGGTCCCGCAAGGTCCCACAAGGTCCCGGCCCCAGTGGCCCGCCGCCTTCGCGAGGAAACCCGGTCTCGGAGAGAGCTGGGGGGGCGGGGCGGCGGGCGCGCGGTTTCCCGTTTCCACCCCGTGGTCGCAGAGCCCAGTTTCCTTCGGAGGCAGCGGGAGGAGCCTGAGACCCAAAGGCTGCGGGCGGCGGTGCGGGCCTCGCCTAGGAGCCGGGCCGGGCGGGCGCCGGGCCCCGACGCGTGAGCTCCGGGCGCCCTCTAGGGGCGGCGCGGCGGCGGGGGCTGGGGGCCGCGGGCAGCGGGGCTGGGCCGGCGCTCCAGGTACCGTGCGTGCCTCGAGGCAGGTGGTGTTTTTATCCCTACCCCGCAGCCCGCAGAACTGAAACCCCGAGACCTTATGCACCTTTGCCCAAGAGCGCGGCTGGTAAACGCGGAGGCCCGCAGCAAGGTCCAGCGGTCTCCGAGCCGGGGCCTTTGGGAAGGAAGCCCGAGGGCAGGGACGAGGTGGACCTAGACGTGTGTCCTGCGGGGGCTCGAATTCCTGGACCCCGGCGGCCAGAGCTCTGCGAACCCCTGCAGTCGGTCCTGCCTGGGGCCTCTGCCCGCCCTCGCTGTCCCCAGGCCGGCCACCTCCTCCCCGCGCCCGCGCACGCCCACCCTCTGGGGCCCTGTCCTTGCAAAAGGCCCTGGGCCTGCAAGGGGCTTCTGTACATTTCCACTCTCCTGCGGCCGCTGGGTCGGGAGGACTCGAACTGGCAGAAAGTTCAACACAGAAGTGAATGAATCCCACTGTCAGACAAAGGAATGGGGAACCAGGAGAGAGTCTGTCCTCCGCTTTCGCCCTGCAAAGCCCGGAGCTGGGGAAGTTGCTGTGGGCTGCGGAGTGGGCTGGGGTGGGCGCAGGCCAGCCAGCGGAGGAGGTTTTCATGCGGATCTTTCAAAGATTCAGTCAAAACAAACGAAGCAAAGAGAGGCAGCTCCCCCGCCTTCCCTGGTAGTCCCCGGAAAGTCTTTTATATAGGATATAAGATATACTCATTTATACGCAGCCCTTGTCAGCGCCTTAAATTTTCACATGTGCAGGAAACACTGGCGTCTTGTTAAAATACAAAGTCTCTTCAGGAGATTGGGGGTGGGGCTTGAGGTTCCACCGGCAGAAAAAGCCTCCTAAGGCGGCTTGGCCCCCAGCACCCAGGCCTCAGCTATCT